TTATCGATCGATCGATCGCCTTCATGCTCCAGGTATGGCAAGTGTCTTCGTGGGCAGCAGACATGTCCTGCCGGGATTTGGAACAGTCAGTAAGGATTGAACGACCATGGATCGATTTCTGGCGGAAAAGTTTTCTCTTCGTCACCACATTCATAAAGACTCCGAGGTCCATCAAGCCACCTGTCCACTTGGTTCCGGTGGACTGATCAGTTTGTGAGGTTATAGTTTGCATGCTTCAAGGTGACAGGAAAATCTTACAACGTTATAACACGATCCTTAGACGAATGGCGGGATTATGATTTGAAACAGGATTCGACTTTGTATAATCGATTACAGGCATACACAAATGATTTAGGTGAATACAATAATCGGAGGGATATCCAAAGTGGGGAATCCCAGATGAGGTAAAGCTACCCCTGCTCTTTAACTACGCACCACGCTACGCAGACATATTGCGGAATGGAGTTATAGCTCCTTGCACACTTATCCTCCGCATTAGATGGAGGTGAAGGTTAGCTTCACACCCAGGCCGCTTTACCCCCGAGGAAAGAATCCTGCATCGAACTGAGTGGACCCCAGAACCTGTCAGGATGATATACCGAAGAGAAAAATTCTTTCCTGTTGAAAATCAAAACCTCCTCACTGTACTGACTGAGCTGTTCCGCCTCCCGAGGGAAATCCTGGATATCAAGTAGCTTTATGAACACGCAGCCATTGTTTTATTATCGAATCATCGAGAATAGTGTTGGAAATAATCTAATAGGCCTACAATTTTTTTAACCGTGACAGTTCTCATACCGATGTGATGACTTGTGTTCCAGGTCACGATACAGGGGGCGAGCATCATGCTTTAGTTGTTATGAACCGAACGTTACCATAACAGAAGACGGTTGAAGTGCGTTTGTTACGCAGACGAGAACATTATGGCGAATTGCAGAGAGTTAAAGTGTGATAAGTTGTTCTTGTGTTATTTATGGACGCTTTGTCAGACTATAGTTTACATAGCTCGAATGTGTGGAGGCGTGTGTGAATTGTGAACTAGGAAGGGTGTACAAGGTATCGATTGTAGCATATTTTAAAAAAAAAGAGTCCTCTTATGTTGTGTGGCCCTAAGCTGTAGCGTATCGTATGCGATATTTCGGGGTTATTGATGACTTTTATACGAATTATCGCGATTTGATTAAGAACAGGGGCAGTTGTAACTTTAATAACATCTGTGTACGGAACCCCCCCCCCCCAAAAAAAAAAAAAAAGACAAC